TGGTCCTAATATATTTTACTCTTCTCAGCTTTTATGCTTTTACTTAATCATTCATTCATTTATTCAAATCACATTTATTGAGCACTTACCATGAGTGCCAAGAAGTTTTTCCTTTAATTGGGGAGGCAGATTGTAAACTAATAACATTTTTCATTGATTCCAAGATGCATCCTGATTTTAGAGATGTTAAAATATGAAAATGCACAGTCATTGTTGTTCTGGTTCAGTCTGCAGGCCTGTACTTGTCTAGTGCACATAAACTTATTATGGATCTTAAAATTGACTTTGTTTTGGATTTGATAAATATATTAAGTAAACAATTTAGTGTGGTAAGTAACAATGAGTGGTTCTGGGGGGAAAGTAAGTGGGAAAGGGTTAGAGCATGGGTCGCAGTTTGCAATTTTAATAAGATTGATGAGGATGGCCTCATTGAGAAGATGGCCAGGAAGTAAAGACAAGAAGGAAATGAGGGCGCAAGCTTTGTGGAGATCTAAGGGGAAGCACATCAGTATTGTCTTACAATTAATTTTTTTCAAAGGTGCCCATTAATAAGCATTATTCCAGCTATTGAGTTTATTTCAATGACGCTATTTTGTAATTGAGCTTTTCCTGTCTCCCTATTCTTGTTTCATGTCTGCCTGTTTTTCTTTTGTAATATTTCCTCCTCAGTGTAGAGTGGGAAAGAGGAAGGAAAGGATTCAAAGAGAAATGTGAGAATTTGGAACAAAATAGTTTCTGTGCATCTGTTATAAAATTATAGTCATAAACATAAGTATTTTTGTTAAGGTCTTAAGTAGCTAAGTGTATACAAAAATCACTGTCTCAACACAAATTTTGTACACTTTCATATTCTGCATCTTCTCCCCTTTTCTACTTTGGTATTTATAGGCTTTTCAGTGTTTCGTTTTTCTTCCTTATGCTCTTAATTTCATTGAACCAATTCACCTGTAACTTGTACTTTCAATTTCTTATTGCTCATTCCCTCTTTAACATCCATAGATTTGTGAAAATGTTTTATAGATTTGAGAAAAGTCTACAATATAAGTATTCTTGCTGCTCTGTGACCTCAACCCTCATTGCTTGATCCTCCAGGCCATGTTTGGTGGTCTGTATTTTTATTCTCTTCTTGATCTCTTTCTGTTCATAGTTTTTTTGAAATTCTAGAAGTCCAGTGTCACCATGCTGTTAGGATTTTCTTCATATTATCTATTCTTTTTATTTTTCCCTTTGTTCCTATCACTTTATCAATTCTCATCTTTATGTGGTTGATTCCCAAGTCATTAAAGAGCTCATCGCTCACATATTTTTAAGAAACACTCCATCCATCTAGTCATAAGGAAACTCCTTATATGTCCTGCTTAACAGCAGTATTCCTTTGCCAGTGTGCCTGCAACAGCACTACAACTTCTTGCTCTTTGAGATAAATATTTTATAAATTATGTGTCCTCTTAGTAAAATGAGGAGATTCAGGGAATTACAGATTTCTCAACTTGAAGTGAAACTAGAAATCAATTCGTCCTTCACCTTCATTTTATTGCCTACGTAATAATAGCTGCTATCCTTAGTTACATGCCATACGTCATTTAATACTTACAAGTTCTTGCAGTGTCAGTAGATATTGTTATTGGCTCCAAACTAATAGTTGAGGAGAATGAGAGAGGTTAAATAATTTACCCAAGTTCACTCAGGTAAGAAATGGATCTGGTATTCACACATAGATCTGGCCACAGATTTATCATCCTGTGTAGTCACCCATGAGGAAGCAAACCTAGAACCGTCAAGTTTCTTGCTGAGGGTCAGGTCACTCTGTAGTTAGTAACAGAATGTGTCTTCATAGCTTGTGGTTTTGGTTTTTTTCCCTGATTTAAGCCCCAGTGATACTCTTGTCATCCTATATATGTAATCAAAACCTATAAGCAATTTTCAGTTCCGTTCTTTCTTTCATTCCCATTGATTAATGTAACTCCTAGTCCCTCAGTTCTTTCTTTAGGCATTTCTTAGAATGATAGTCTTCCTATCCCCACCACCTCAAGGACATCAGCCCATCAAGACTGCAACAGTCTTGTAATTGGTCTCCTTGGCAGTAGGCTTATCTCTCTTCTCTAAATTGTCCTGACCCACTCATTTTCCCCTTCTGGTCAAGAAACTCCAGTAACTTTCACTACTCAATAAATCAAGGGTAAAATCCATTTCTTGCAATTTAGCACTCTTAGTCTTAATTTTTCAGCTTCAGAATAACCACAGTATTCAACTTATGAATTTCTTTTATTTAGAAAAGGTATTTGGAAATTAACCATTACCTATTTCCGTGGGAAGTCGTAATCCAGTTTTTGTATTGCATTTCCAGTTTATCCTACTTGATCCTTTTTAACCTATAATCTACATGGTGTAATTATTTTTATATGGCAAATATAATTGCAAAGGATAACGATGTTTGTCTTTATTATATTCCAACCTTATACTTCCCCAAACTCTGTGCATTCCCATACATAGCACTTACGATGCTTTACTGTCATTTTCTGTCATCTAAACAAATGCAAATACCATATGAAAATCAGATAATAACACTAAGATTTGAAATAGGCCAGATATACATCACTAGGGAATGGGATACACAAGCTCTTTCTAAAAGAGAAATCTGAACCTCAACTCCCATTGGATCTAGCACTCAAGCTGCCATCTAAGAGGGAAAATGTGTTTGATTTTCGGTAAATTAATGTTAAATATATTTTGTGGCCTTTCATAATATTTCCAATTTTAATGTTAAGGTCTATAAGATGTATATCTTTTAGCTATAAAAAAACATGGTTTCATTCATTTCAACAAATTTGAGCTTCTAAGTGTCAAGTACTATGCTGATAAGTACCAAGGATCCAGAGACATGTAAGATTAAGAAAAAGAAAGAGCCAGGTCACTATTCTTTGAGCTCACAGTCTAATGAAGACTTTAAAGTACATAAATTACAACTATAGCTAACTGTTCTTTAAATAGTGAGAAATTAAATCGGTATATCATGACTAAGTAAATATAAAATTCAAACAGCAACCAATGCATAGTAGATAAGATCCTGTAGTAAGCCATAAAAATAGCTCATCCTCTAGTACGCAACCCTGAGAGAATATGTGCATGTGCAAGTCCAATCAAATTGAAGCAGAACTGGAATAAAAGTGTAGGAAAACGAGTACTTTCTGGGGCCTCCCCTAGTGGCGTAGGCGGTTGAGCGCTGCGCTGTGAAGCTGTCCGCAGCCTCTTCAGTGCCGGTTCGATCTCAGCCAGCTGGTGAGGGTCCCACATGGCACAGCAGACCTTTTCTGTCACACCTGATGCTCCCCTCAGCAATGTATTTCGTCAGTCTGCCTGTTCTGTTCCCCGCTCTGTGAATCTCTGGTGAATCCTCTCACCCTCCCACGCATCTGTACTGTACCCCGGTTCTTGTATAAATAAATGAATAAATCTTTAAAAAAAAAAAAAAAAGTACTGTCTGCCCACAGACCTCAGGCCAAATGCCCATATTGCTGTTTATTAATTGTGTAACCATTGACAAATTTCCTAACTTTTCTTTACCAATTCAAGGACAGAAACCATAGCTGCTATATTCTCAGCACTTAACACAGTGCCTGTTATATAATAGATACTCAAATTTTTTTAGTGAATGAATGACTTCTATTTGTGTAACTGCTTGAAGTTTTATCAGGGTGGTCAGGGGATAACATAGAATGGAGACACCTATATGATGGGCAGCTATTGATAGAAATGGAGGAAATAGAAGACACGGCTGGTTGGGCAATTAGAGACAATCAAGAACTGTGGTCAACTGGAAATTTCTTTTTTGCCCACTCTCACTCTTTCCCAGCACTCCCCTTTGGCCTGCGCTAAGGGGTGTTCTGGCTTTCGGCCCGGAGTTCTGAGAGCCCAGTCGGGTTCTGCTCTGACTGTGCCATTCCCCATGGGGCAGAATCCACAAGCCAGTCAGATGTTTGCATATCCACCTCCTCTAGACCACCTTCTTTTGGGTGTGCATATTGAATTCCAGAATTATACGATAAGTACTGACATGATTTTCTTTAAACAAAAGCAGTTTTAAAAAGACTTACTGATTTTTTTTTCTTTTTTAATTCAGCGATATCTCAGACCTGCCCATATGTCATCTCCATGAATAGAGTCATGTAGATCTGTGTCAATCTTTGCAGCTTTATAGAAATAGTATTCTGTAGTATCGATGCCATGCCTGGCCATCTCCTTATAGATGAACATTAGGTGGTTTGCAGTTTCCCCATGTCATAAACAGTGCTGTGTCTGCGCCTTGTGCGACATGCAAGTACATCTCCCACTCCAGAGTTGTGGAATGACCATAGGCTGTCATGAGTCAGCCTGATGGCAGCTGGAAGATGGGGCACAGCTGCGAGGGATACTTTACTGACTTCATCATCATTGGTAGAGAAGATGGCAAAAAACAAGAAGGGAAGTAAATGTGTGTAGGGGACATATGTCAGCTTACACGATTGGGAAGTCCTGGAGTATACCTTTCACACACAATTCTAGACCTTAGTGCTTTGCACAAACAAGCTTAGTAATATTGAGTCACAAAGGGAGTACTATCTATTGCAAGTCTTGTTATTCCTAACCAAATGACCCTGAAAATATTTTTAATACAGTTTTATTTTCCTTAAATTTTTAGAATGATTGACTGGCTGTCCTGGCCACTGGCTCAGCATGTGGACACATGGGTGATCGCACTCCTGAAGGGCCTGGCAGCTGTCCAGAAGTTCACTATTCTGATAGATGTTACTCTGCTGAAAATTGAACTGGTAAGTGCGAGTATGTTTCACTAGAATGTATGAGTGCATCTAATCAATCTTTTTTTTCCTCTTTGGATTGTCCCTTGAAAGCATTGAATATAGAATATGTTCTTGGTTTTGGTTTTGTTTTGAATAATAATTTTAAATAGGGTTTAGAAATTTAAAATATCATTCAAGTGTAAGTAAGTAATTTTGTTTTCAAATATCTAGTAAGAGAATGTACTCCTTTCATTTCTCTTGAATCCAGCTAAGTGAGCTTTTACCACCGCTATTCTGCCAGGACTTCCTCGTGCTTTCCAGTGTTGCTGAACCCTCAGCTTGTTCTCAGGCCTCCTGTCCTTGACTCGTTAGTGATATTTGACACATTTGGTCACTCCTTCCTGAAACACTTTCCTCACTTTGGTTCCAAGACATTAACTTTCCTGGTCACTGTTTTGGTTCACTGGCATCTCGACCTCCTCTAGTAGATCTTTCTAACATTAGAGTGTAGTTGGCTTCATCTTTGACTGATTTTCTTCTCACCTGGTACTCACATACTTACGTGTTCCATGGCATTAAGTAACGTCTCTAAGTTAATGGCTACCAGGTTTTATTTAGAGTTTATTATTCTGCCCTGGCTCTCATATTCACCTGTTTAGCTGTCTGTACTTGGATCTCTGACTCAGCTGATCCACAATCTCACTCTTGAGTTTTCCCTCCCAGACTTGACCTTCCCCATCTTACTAAATGACTGCTCCATCCTTACATTTGCCCAGGCCAGAAACATTAAAGCTGTCCTGCTGTTTTCATTCTCTATCAGCCTATATAGTGCAAATCCTGTTGACTCGACCTTTCAAGTATGCCAGACCTCTCCAGCTTTTAACAGCTACCTCACTAGCACCCTGGTCCGGAGTCATCACCATCCCTTGCTTCATTAATGGCTGTAGCCTCCCAAGTCTTGCCCTTGGTCGCCTGCAGATGTCATACTTGACCCTAAGTGATCTGGCCCACTGCTGCTTCTCTCAGGCCGCCTCCCACTATTATCGCCTCAGCCCCTGTGCTTTACTTACCCTGTCCTCCTTGCAGTAACTTCAGCACAAGTGAGTGGAAGCCTCAGGGCCTTGCAGTGCAGTTTGCCCAGCTACAGTGCTCTCCTCCCAGGATTCTGCCAGGCTCGCTCTCGTTCCCTTAAATATCTAATAGTCAGATGTCACCTTTTTCATGAGGCTTTTTTAAATACCACATATAAAATAAATCCCTTGCCACTCAGCATATTCTTTTCACCACATCCTGCTTTATGTGTCTCCATGTACAATTTTATTACCTTCCACCCCCTAGACAGTAAGCCCTTAAAAGATCAAGAGTTTTTTTTTTTTTGTTTTTTTTTTTGATCCAGTGTTGTATCTTCAGTGCCTTCAACAGTGCTGAGCAATAGTAGGTACTTAATAGCTATTTGTTGAATGAACTGAATGAATACTAGAACAGGGAGCTATTACTTTGGAAACATGATTTGACAGATTTTTATTTGATCTGGGGGTTTTAAGAGTTGGTTAAGCCATTATGTTTCCCTTTATCTCTGTCATATTATTTCCCGACTTTCTCCCTCTTCCAAAGTTTAATAGCATTGGTTATGATAGAACGTTCCAGGAAGGGGGGTGTTCATGTAAACAATTGGAAATAACCACTGATTGGGCTAATGACTGCTTCCAAAACCTAAAGATGGATGTCTTGTCTCATTTTGAAGGTTTTTAACCGACTTTGGTTCCCTCTTGTGAGACCTGGTGCTCTTGCTGTTCTTTCCCACATGCTGCTTAGTTTTCAGCATTCGCCAGAGGCTTTCCACTTGGTGAGTTCTGACACTGGCTTTCCACACGGAAAAGCCTGGTTTCAAAATGTAAGTGTAACACTGAGTCACGTGTGTATCGTGACCGGATTGTAGATTAGTCCTAAGTCTACCTACTTTCATGCAGCTTTGTGATTTCTTAGGAAATTGAGGACATGGGATTTCCCTCTACAGAACATCTTTTCATAATGTTTTGGGTCTCACTAAAACTGCGCTACTTGCAGCCACTCCCAGCAGTTTAAAGTTAATGCTCTATATGAGAAATCTCACGTGTAGTGTCACTCATGGGTGTCTGTGGCACTTTAAACAGTGTAGAGGAGGAAAAGTGGTGGGAAACCATGAACTCCTTCCGAATTTTGAAAACATCGATCTTTGTTACATAGCCTCGGAGAGCTGTTCACTCTCAGCCCATTTCCTACACATTCTAGGGACTTCCTCTACCTTTAAAACATGTTCAGAAGCCTGCCACTTTTAACCAGCTGCATCTCTAGTTTTGATTTCATTTGATTTCAGTTATTTGATTGCTAGTTTTTGCATATGAGAAGTATCAAATGTTATTTCGGGAACTTGCCCAATTATCTCTCTCGTTCATCACAGGAAAGCAGTGCTGTATGTGGTTATTCCTCCAGGGTCTGACCCTCAGTTTTACAGAACTGGCAACTCATTGTCAGTTCACCTACAATGTGAAAATACTAAGGTACTGACCTGCTACATCTCTATAAAACTAGTCACTAGAATGTGTAGGAAATGGGCTGAGAGAAAAGCTTTCTGGTGCTGTGCAACAAAGATGGATGTTTTCAGAGGAGACTGTGAAGAATTGCAGAGTTCCCACTGTTGGTCTTTAACTAAAAATATAACCAGCCTCAGAGAACCATCTGCTCATATGGGCTGCTCAGTACCTCATTTCCACTAAAGGAAAATTTGTAGACTTTGTTATAAGTAGACCTTACGCACCAGTGATTACGTTATTTGTTACCACCTACAGAGTAATATCTGCAGTTAATTGTCCTAATTGGTGAGCTTGATCATCATTGATCAGATCTCACCCTGAATATAGCAGGTATACTAGCAAAGAATCTCCCAGAGGAAAAGACATCAATTATTACTGTTTTCAGAAGCCGCTTCTCAGCTTTTTGGCTAAGATAAAGTGTAATAATTAGTCAGAACAAGCATAGCACTTTATCGATGGAATGAGCCATTTCTCCACAATAGTTCGTTTTATTAATACCCTTTCAAATATGTGATTACCTCTATTGACATTTTAGACTAATTTTTATTATGATTATTACTTTATTATTTATTATAAAAGGAAATTGTTGTGCCTGTTATCAATACTAACAGCTTTCTACATGTTTATGATCAATGAGTATATAAGATTTCCCTTTTGTTAAACTCCAGTTCCTTAAAGAAATAACAAACGCTTACGATTTCTCTTTGTGAAGAAGAGATGGGATTGTTAGTAAGGATAACCACACTAACATAAGACATCATCTCTGAGCTTATCTAAAAGAAAGAGATGTAATTTTAGTTCCAACCCTAAGCTAGTGGTATTTCAAAGACTTCAAGTAGTCTTGAATGCCAAGTATGTCTCATTCTTTCAAGTGAGAAACCCAGAATCCACACTAGATGGCACTCTCAAGCCTAGTATATGAAGTATATTTATAAGTTTGTTCCTATTAAACAATCTGGTAAATATAACAGCCCTAACTTTTTGCAGCTCAAGAATGGCAGGCTCCTGTTTTGGACCTTAGCGTATATTTTATAAGGGTGAATAGAGGTGTTTATATATAATTGCAATTTTATATAACTTTGAAAACTAAATTTACCTTGATATTCTAGAAAGTTTAGCATAAACTTTTGTAGAAAAAGATTATGTACTGAGCGTACAGAAAAGTATTTTCTGGTCACGTAACGTTTCCATACTATCTGTAGACTAGAGAATTTATTGCCAATTTGTATAAATTGAGGAATGTTTATCCTTTTTTCTCTTCAGGTTGTTCCTCACGTAGTTAATTTGGTTCACGCCTGCAAATGTGATGGCCTGCCATCCAGTGCAGCCTTCTTAGTGCAGTTGACAGAATTGATACACTGCATGATGTATCATTACTCTGGATTTCCAGATCTCTACGAACCTATTCTGGAAGCAATAAAGGTATGGTGATAGTTGCACCCGTATTTGAAGAGCTGCAGACCATGATGTGATCTGAATTAATAACCCTGTTTCTTCAGTTCCACGACATCGTCAATTATAAGACTTACCTTTATATTTGTAATAACATTTGGAGAAACTTGTTTCAAAAGAGATGCTACAATAATTATTACTTTATTATTTATTATAAAAGGAAATTGTTGTGCCTGTTATCAATACTAACAGCTTTCTACATGTTTGTGATCAATGAGTATATTAGATTTCCCTTTTGTTAAACTCCAGTTCCTTAAAGAAATAACAAACGCTTACGATTTCTCTTTGTGAAGAAGAGATGGGATTGTTAGTAAGGATAACCACACTAACATAAGACATCATCTCTGAGCTTATCTAAAAGAAAGAGATGTAATTTTAGTACATCTATCAGTGGTGTGTCCCAATAGCAGAAGTGTTAAAATAGGTAAAATACATCTTAGAGTTGAGGAAAGACAGTTTAATCAAATATTTGACTTTGGTTCCTTCCCTACATTTACTCCATTTTTTTGCTGTGGACTATTCATGATTGTCCAAGTTTCATAAAATCTCTACTTGAATTATTTGTTACCTTACCCTGTTTTCAACTTTGTCTACCTAGTGGATCTAAAAAAGCAGACATTCTGTTTATCTTCAATAAAGGATCATAGTAAACACACTTTCCTCTTAGTAAGCTTATTACATAATTAGCATGTAGCTATACCAAGGACAGCTTGCCTCAGCCAGACTTAATCAGAAGATATTAGAAATCATATCTATTAATTATGCACCCATTTGGGGTCTGAAATACAACACAAATGTCTCATTACCTTTATATCTATCTGAAACAAACACAAAACGTGTTCCTTTTACTGTGTAGTTCGCTACCTCAACCTGAGTTTGGTGAAACCCAGAACATACACCTGTTCAGCTGTTAACCACCCCACCGGGCAGCCTTTGACCTTCAGTAGGAAACACCCTGATGTGGAGGAGCTTTTGTCCCGTGGATTTCTAGTTAACCTCAGTTGCTTTCTTAATGTCATTCTTCAGTGCTTATGTTGAAGTACTAGTAACTGAAATAGTCTCAGAAGGAGCAAAGGGCTCACTATTTGCCCAAGTACTTTCTATTAGTTTTCTCCCACCAGCACAAAAATCCAGGAATTAAAGTTCCTCCAGAATGTGTTTTTTAGGAGCTTAGTGTCAGAGGATAGTGGCAATACCAAAAAGCCTCCATGATTGGGTAGTGGCAATACCAAAAAGCCTCCATGATTTTACCAGTTTTTCTTATCCATTGTTCTGCTCGTGCTTGAAATAACTCACACTTTAAATTATCTCATGTTGCAAAGCAGATTAGAAGAGTCTGTATCTTATAATAATTTCCTGTATGATTAAGCTTGAGGTTCAGTTTTTTTTTCAAATTCAGAGGCCAGTGTGTTTCAATGCTTTTCACTTTTTTATTGAGGTATAATTGACAGCATATTAGTTTTAAGTGGCAGCATAGTGATTCAATATTTGTATATTTTGTGAAATGGTCAGCACAATAGCTAATAGCTATTAATAGCTATTACCACATATATAGGATTTTTCTCTTGTGTTGAGAACTTTTAATAATTACCCTTAGCAACTTTCAGAGCTGCACTATGTTGTTATAACTACTTGCCATGCTGTGCAACACAGCTTTTCTTGCATCCACTATTTATTTTATACCTGGAAGTTGGCACCTTTTGACACCCGTGCACCCAGCCTCCCCACCCACTGGCAACCACCGTCTACGTTACATGCTTTCATTTTCCATCCCCTGATTACTTTGAGCTTTTGAGCTAAGGGTTTAAAACTGGGCAAATAGTAGAAGTGAATAAACAGATTTTTTTTTTTTTTATTATAAAATTTGAAAACGAGATTTTTTTGTTTGGCTTAGTCAGTTGTGCGCAATTTGCATCTTTATTCTGTTGCCTTTGAGTAGCATTGAAGTATAGTTTCTCACTTCCAAGTTTTTATTTTGTAAACATTTTCCAGCAAATGTGAAATATAAATAGTTGAATGTATGCATGTTGAGTGTCCTTCAGCTTGATAAATTCTATGTCTAGGGTGTGTTTATTTTTGCAGGGTATTTTGAATTTTGATGAGTGACCAAATACTGTCAGTGATTTCAGAACTAAGTAGGAGAAATCAAAGCTTAAATGTCAGTGGGAAAATCTTCCTTGTGGCGTTAATATAGTGAAAATAGTTTATATTTTTAAAACTGTTTTTCCTCTTCATGATCTATAGGATTTCCCTAAGCCCAGTGAAGAGAAGATTAAATTGATTCTCAATCAAAGTGCCTGGACTTCTCAATCCAATTCTTTGGCATCTTGCTTGTCTAGACTTTCTGGAAAATCTGAAACTGGGAAAACTGGTCTTATCAACCTTGGAAATACGTGTTATATGAACAGTGTTATACAAGCATTGTTTATGGCCACAGAGTAAGTTTAAACTGTACACATGGGTGCACACTGGTGAAAAGTAAGATGGTGGGCTTGTCTTCACGTTATTCCTTGTAAATGGCAAAAATGTTACTATTTTCATACATGCCTTATTCAGAAATGAAACTGTTTTTAGTGCTCAGGAACTATTGCATTGTTGGCTTATATAAATTCTACTTTGCAGTTATATTATACATTGCATTTGAAATGCCATTATCTTTTGAATTACTCTCAACACTCATTAACATCACACAGGGATTGTTTGAGCTCATTCCAAAGGACTTGTGACTTCAAGTACTAATTTGTTGTTCTGTAAGACTGAGTTTTTTTAACATGCATATTTTTTTGAGAGGGTCACGTTTACTTTTTACTACTTGTGATACTCCGCTACTTCTCAGATCAATAACTTATTTGTTGCTGTTAAAGAAGTTTTAGCTCGGGCCTCCCCATTGGCACAGCAGCTTGAACACAGTGCTATAGAGCTGTCCGCAGTCTCTGCAGCATGGGTTCGATTCCCAGCAGGCCAGGGAGATACCCACATGGTGCGGCAGACCTCTCCTGTCTCTGGTGTTTTCAGTCCATCTGCTGTTCTGCTCCCCACTCTGTCTCTGGTGAATTCTTTCACCTTCCCACACCTCTGAACCCTACCCCAATTCTTGTATAAATAAATATATCTTTAAAAAAAAAAGTTGGAGCTCTACTTCCTACCCCAAGTTGATAGATACTGAACAAATATAAACAGACATGTTGCTTTGCCCACTACAGATTTACTTCACGATCCATTCTCTTTTGCAGCCAAACAGGTAGAAAATCGGAGATTGATAGCTAAGTAAAGATAATGATAAAATTCGTGATAATTTTTTATTTAAAAATGATAAATTTTTCCAAAATGCAGAAAGCATAGTTGAATTTTTCTCTTCAAATTAAAAAGTATTCATGGAATTAAGTTCCAAGCTTTCATAAGTTTTTATGCCTACCTAGAGTAATCATAAATACAAGATGAAGAGTTGATTTTCTTTTTTGTTTTTGTTTTTGTTTTCTGACCCCAGAATATGCTATCAACACTTTGTTATTTTTGGTTTGGTTTAATGTTTACTTTGGGGGCCGGGAGGTGTTGTTTGGGATTTGTTTCTTCTTCTTCTTTTTTTTTTAAAGATTTATTTATTTATTTTATACAATAACCGGGGTACAGGCCAGTTGCGTGGGAAGGTGAGAGGATTCACCAGAAACAGAGGGGGGAACAGAACAGGCAGACTGACGAAATACACTGCTGAGGGGAGCAGCAGGCAAAATGAAGTCTGCCACGCCATGTGTGACCCTCACCGGGAGGGCCGGCCAGGATCAAACCAGCGCTGCAGAGGCTGTAGACAGTTTCACAGCGCAGCGCTCAACCACCTGCGCCACCAGGGGAGGCCCCGTTTATTTCTTCTTTAAGAAAATACAAACTTTAAACACAAGCGATAGTAGGCATAAGTCTAAAGGAATCCATGTGTCACCTCCAAAGGTCATCTAGTTCAGCCATCCCATTTCACAGATGACAGAAAAAGGAGAGACCCAAAGCAGTTAGCAGCGGTTCAAAGAGCACATCTTACTGTACAGTGGGCAGTGATTAGACAGACATGTTTTGATTCTTAGACATCATGTTTTGTGACTTCTTTGTGATTTAAAAAAAAATTAAAAATATATAAAATGAAAATGAGACAAATATTTTAGTAAAAATAACTCTTAAATATAATTTTTAGGTAATTTTAAGTCAGAAATCCCCATTGCTATTGTAATTTATTGTTTTTTTTGTACATCATTCCAGACCTTTTTTTGTAGTTATATATCTTATATACTGCAAAAACCAAATACATTTTTTTTTCACTATTTATAGACTCACATAATCTCTTTTAGTCACTTGCTCTTTATCTTTTAATAATTTATGTTGGAAATCATCTCATGTTGGGGCAGTATAGGTCTATCATTCTAAATAAATGGGTTTACATAATTTATTTAACCGTACTTCTGTTGATGAATTAATGTCTGTGTCCACAGACAGATACAGAGGATATTCTCTGAACTGGGTTTATGCAGTAGTATTTTGAACTCACATGCTAATGCATGATTGTACCTATGGTCCTATCCCTTTACCAGTATAGACTTGCTCCTCTGTTTTCCTTTGTCTGTTTGTGTTTCTTTTCTGAATAATTTCTTTTCTAGACTTTCCTTTCTATTGGGTCTTTTTTCTTTTTCATAATGATTTATATATATATATATATGTATATATATATATATATATATATAATAATAATCCTTTGTTACAAGCTTCCTTCCAGTGAATGCAATTGAAATTTGTTAAGTGTTTCATTTGTGATATTTCATAAAATCCTTTAGTGAGATCTGCTTTTTATTGTAGTCAGATCTGCTATTTTTAATTTATAGTGTCTAGATTTTAGAAAGCTTTCCCCTTCCAAATTTGCCTCCTTTTTTTTTAATAAGTAGTTCTGTATTTTACATTTAGCTCACTCCTATATGGCATTTGTGATGGAATAAAATCTTTCCTAACACAGTAAGAGCAATTTAAAATGTGTGGTATTGTACAGAAAGGGAAAGAGATAAACTATTCAAAATATAATATAGGAACAATAGGGATAACAAAATACCAAAATTTTAATAGTTTATTATCCTTTTCCCTTTCTATATAATATCACACTCTTTAAATCACTAGCTGTATAATATGTTTTGATGACAGCATATTTTTTTTATAACTTCAGGCAGATATGAATAAATTTTAAAATTGCTTACTTAAGTTACCAATTAATAGCTTAATCTGTTTCTATTTGCTACTTCAAAAAATATGACTAATATATGACAGCACACAGGCCATTTCCAGGCCACAGAGTAAGTGCTCATTTACTGTCATTCTTCCTTCTGACTACACAGCACTGTGTAGGCAGTGACCAGGCGAAGTAAAGGGCCATCAGGTAAGTGAAGTTTTACTCTGAGGATAATCGATTATTGAACTAACTTCCTTTTAGATTTAAAAAATACATGTGTGATACACATGCGAACATAAATCATATTTTATTCTCTTTCAGTTTCAGGAGACAAGTATTATCTTTAAATTTAAATGGGTGCAATTCATTAATGAAAAAATTACAGCACCTTTTTGCTTTTTTGGCTCATACACAGGTGAGTGTGTACACAGTATATATGTATTAACTTCACAGATGATATTCTTTAAAACTCATATTCCAAACTTGGTGAGCTTTTTAACTGATGAAATATATCTCATCTAACACTAAATTCACTAAAAAATGATAAGGCTATACTGCCTAAAATATTTGGATATGGAAATATGCCCTAAGTTTTAATTTCTTTCTCTTCCATTAGTGTAGATGAATATTACGTTTACCCATTGTTCTAATTATTACATATAAAGTCTGATACTCTATTCAATAAATACGCTTCTTCATAAAGAAGTTTTTTTAAATGCATCTTTAATAGTTTACAGATACTAAATTGATATAACAGTGAATAATAAAATAGTTTTATGGTACCTTTTTTCCTCCCATTTCTTATATATGTACCCTTCATTATAACTAAAGATCTGTAGTTCTGTTTGTCCATTAAGTTCTATAGCTTGAAAATTTGTAATCTTTTACATCCACAAATTAATCCAATGAAATGAATTTTTCCTAATGTCAAAAAAGATTTATACAGTGACTGCTCATTCATTCAGCAGAAATCTGTTGAGAGATAGGGGAGCAGTCTAGGGTAAATCTAGGTTAAATTGGAGACTCTACGTGCAGGAACTTATAGTTTAAGTTTTGAGCACTACTGTGAAAATATCTATCATTTATAAATAGTACTTGATAGTATTTTCTGGTTTTACTCTGATTTCGTTTCACAAAGGTCAAAAGGACCAGGTTAGTTGGAGCCAGAAGAGTAGATAGATTGAAAATTGGTGGAATTGAATTGATGGAAATGTCTTAACTTCCTGTATCAAGCTGAGATACTAAAGTCTTTAGTATGACTTCTTAAATGGAAAGACTTGAGACAGGATTGACAATTAAGATGATAGTGATGACTCTTGAGTAGTAAAGTACTCAAAGCTTATCACTTTATTCTTTGTCTAGAGGAAATAAGTTCACAAACTTTGCTTCTCAAGAGCAAGGAAAAAGGGCCTCCCCTGGTGGCACAGTGCTTGAGCGCTGGGTTGCGAAGCTGCCCGCAGCCTCTGCAGCGCTGGTTCGATCCCTAGCTGCTGGGCGAGGGTCCCACATGGCGCGCAGACCTCTGCTGCCGCCCACTGCTCCCCTCTGGCTTTTAAAGCCATGTACTTCAGTCCTTCTGCCTGTTCTGCTCCCCACTCTGGCTCTGGTGAATTCTCTCACTTCCCGCACTTCTGACTATACCCAGTGCTTGTATAAATAAATAAATAAATCTTTAAAAAAAAAAAAAAAAAGAGCAAGGAAAATAGTGTCTTCCTTCCAACTCCCTAACACTGTTTCCTAGTAAAGTGGCAAGCTTACATTCCCTGCTCTTAGAGTCATGCAAACAAGCGACAACAGTGAGATGAGAACCAGTGACTCTAGAGCTCATGTTCAACCAGGACACTAAGTTTCCTTCAAAAAGCTATAGCTAGCTCCCCTTTGGATATAATTTTTCTTAACTAAAGACAGTATTACATATTAGAAGTACTCAAAATGTCAGGACAATTCTAAATTTTCAAATTAAAATCCTATCTTTTAGACATCTTTTTAGTTATTTTTTTGTTGTGGCAAAATCTAGCATTTGAAACTAGATTGCTTCAAACCCAAGAGCAGCCTTTTAATTTAAAGAAAAACCATAAATTGCCAGTGGACTCGCCAGGCTGCTCGCATTGTGAATGGGCATTCACATGTGTGCAGGCTCGCACCTACTGTCAGTGCACATGGCCCTGTACACTGTTTATTTCTTCATCCAAAATATGTATTCATTAACATAATCTTTTCAGATTTGGTTTTTCAAAAAACCGTAGACCGAAGCACATCACAGCCACAGAGGGATAGTGCCAGGAGCATTACTTCTATCAAGAGTTAGAGAGACCTGGGTTCAGATTTAACCCCCTCTGTCACTAATTTGGCTACATGACCTTGGACAAGTCATAATAATTTTTCTCAGTCTTAATTCTTACCTACAAAATGAGAAGTTTTTACTAAGGCTTTTTAAAAGGTTAAATGCAATGTTAATTTTAAGCAGTCTTCATTAAACCGTGAAGAATGCAGGTCATGGTGTGAGACTTATTTCCTTGTACTTTCTTTATTGATATCAAGAGGGAAGCATATGCACCTCGGATATTCTTTGAGGCTTCCAGACCTCCGTGGTTCACCCCCAGATCACAGCAAGACTGTTCTGAATACCTCAGGTTTCTGCTAGACAGGTAAAAAGTATTTTTAAAATTATAATTTGAATTGTGTTCTTTTATTACAGACGTTTTTAGAGAATGTTTTTTCCTTTAAAAAACATCTCAAGTGCTAATCTTTTTTAAAGCCGTGCTTTTACTACATATTTCTTGTTTTCTTACTTTTAGATAGACTAGTTGTTCTCAAAATGTACAGCAACCCTAAGGGATCCCCAAAACACTTCCGGGATCTTCCCTTTCCCAACTAATTATCTGTGTATAAGTAGTTGAAGCGGGGTTTCTTTGAAGGATATACTGCTTCCAAAATAAAATGGTGAACTGCAGAGCAGTTAGAGGATCCATTTCTCTTTTATTAAACCAGATACTTGAGGTCCTTGCAAAATTTAAAACAATGCCATTCTCCTCACTAAATTTTTTGGATCTTAGAAAATACAGATGTTTTCCACAAAAAAAAAAAAAAATGTATTTTTTATTATTATGTAACAGGTTTTTTATTGTTTTTAAATGTATTAAGGTATTACTACTATTATTCTCCGTTTTTGAATACAGTATATATCGATAGATATAACCACACAAATGAAAGCTCTTGGTCTCTCAGTTAAAGAGTGCTAAGAGGTCCAAAAAATACAAATTTAGTAACTGCTCCTTTACAACTGTTCATAGTTGAATTGGTTTGGTATATTTTATTGTCTCCTTACCAGCTAATCAATAAAACCTATTCTTGTATCTGCTCATCTTTGCATCCCTCCTGCTATGTGAATAACTGGCAAAGCATGTGCAACCTTCCTTCATTCAGCTGAGAGTGTTGAGTAGTTTCTTTTTACCAGGCTTTCTACCAGATGCCAGACAAAGATATGGGTTATAGATGTAGATTATTAACTATAAGTGCTATAAAATAGTGGGATGACGAAAATGTAATGAGAAAATAAGATAGTAATAGCCCCTAACTTCTCTCCTAATCTGTGTTCTCTGTTCATTATTCCTCTTGATTGAAAGAGGAGAAACTTCATTTTTTTAATTAAGCATTATATTTGATAAAGAATAATTTGTACAAGCCACCAAAATGATAAACTTAAGTGAAGTAACTGTATAATGATATACTCTCCTACAGGCTTCATGAAGAAGAAAAGATCTTGAAAGTTCAGCCCTCACACAAGCTTTCTGAAAGCCTGGGGTGCAGTGAAACTTCTTTACAAGAAATGACCAGTAAGACGGCTGTCCTGACAGAGACCACTTGCACAAGCGATGCTGAGAAGACTTTAATAGAAAGAATGTTTGGGGGGAAGCTACGAACTCACATATGTTGTCTGAACTGCAGGAGTACCTCACAGAAAGTGGAAGCCTTCACAGATCTCTCACTTGCCTTTTGTCCTTCCTCTTCTTTGGAAAACCTGTCTTTTCAAGGTGCAGCGCCATCGCTCAGTACACTCGAGGATGGTTCTGGGCCAGCCAGCGTGCCCGGGCCTCTGCAGGACCTCGGAGGTTCTGATCCAGCAGCCGCCTTCGTCTGTGACTCAGCGGTGACGGAAAGAATGGTAGGCAGCCCCCCTGATGAGTTTTGCTGTGCCGAGAACACCTCTGGCCCTGATGAACCCAGCAGCATTCTTGTTAATAAAGATGTACCTCAGAAACCAGGAAGTGAAACCACACCTTCAGTAACTGACTTGCTAAATTATTTTTTGGCTCCAGAAATTCTTACTGGTGATAACCAGTATTATTGTGAAAACTGTGCCTCTCTGCAAAATGCCGAGAAAACTATGCAAATCACGGAAGAACCTGAGTACCTTATTCTCACTCTCCTGCGATTTTCATATGATCAGAAGTATCATGTGAGAAGAAAAATTTTAGACAACGTGTCACTGCCACTGGTTTTGGAGTTGCCAGTTAAAAGAACTACTTCTTTCTCCTCGTTTTCAGAAAGTTGGTCTGTAGATATTGACTTGACTGATGTGAGTGAGAACCTCGCAAAAAAATTAAAGCCCTCTGGGACTGAAGAAGCGAGCTGCCCCGCACTGGTGCCCTATCTGCTCAGTTCTGTCGTCGTGCACTCTGGTGTTTCCTCCGAAAGTGGGCATTACTACTCTTATGCCAGGAACATCACAGGAACAGAGTCTTCGTACCAGAGGTGCCACCAGGCTGAAGCTCTGGCATTAGCTTCCTCCCAGAGCCATGCAGTAGGGAGAGAAAGCCCCAGTGCAATCATAGAGCAGGATTTGGAAAATAAAGACATGTCAAAGGAATGGTTTTTATTTAATGACAGCAGAGTGACGTTTACTTCATTTCAGTCAGTCCAGAAAATTACCAGTAGGTTTCCAAAGGATACAGCTTATGTGCTTTTGTATAAAAGACAGAATATCACGAATAGTTTAAGTGGTAATGACTCAGCCAGTGGACTCTGGGTAAATGGAGACCCGCCTCTACAGAAAGAACTGATGGATGCGATAACAAAGGACAACAAACTCTATCTACAGGTAAGCTGGGGGCAAAAGCTGCTACGTTAGTGGGAAATATTTAAACACGCAACAGGCGGTTAAGTGAGCAGCCTTACGTGTACATTTTCCACAGTAACTGAAAGGTAGTAACAGTAGTAATTCTGAAATCCGAGCTGAGTTTCATATGAAATTTCTTACCTATATGATTATCTTATTGGCAGATGTTGTGAATTCATTATGAAGAGCCATTTGTCTACAGATGGAGCAGATCTTAATTGTTTTTAATTTTAGAAGGTGCGAGCATTATAAAATCATGCCAAACAGAAATAGAAAGTTTCATGCAATGAAAGTATCTTCCCTCATCCCTGCAGTCCTACCCATCAGGGAGAACCAATGCTAACTTTCCTTTTGGGCCTTTGTATAAATATTTTAAGGGCTATTTACTGACATTTTGGTAGATAAGATAAAGGACATTAAAAGATAGAATATGTAAAGAAAGGATGTTTGTATTATTTGAGGATCTGAGCAATAAGACCAAAGAGTTAATAGCATAATTAGTAAATAAAAGCCATGGAATAAAGGTTTCATATGAGCTGAATTTACTTATAAATATGCTTTTGTACAAGAAGTTAGTGATTTTGTTACTTTAAAGTTAACAAAGATATTGGTGGAATTATTTTTCTGTGAAACCTGCTAACTTTCTGTCCACATAAATCACCAACAGTAAATTAAAGATGAAATTGTAGGTATATTAATCGAGTAATTTAGGTAATTTTATGTGTTTAAAAAAGTTAAGTTCCTAAATATTTCATGTTTGAAAGACACAAAACTAGGCGACACCAGTAAAAGAAGTGGGCCACTGTTGTACTGATTTTCACAGGGAAGTTTTCTTAAATGTTTTCAAATTTACTATGAAGTACTCAACATGATACATTTTTAAAGAAATAGGGACATTCTAGAGTAACTCAAAAACTATATACAGAAAAAAATTAAAGGCTTAGAATGCTTGTTAGAATTGATTCAATGCCGGGTCTTCCTGGTGGCACAATGGATTGGGACGCAACCTATGAAGTTGTCTGCAGCCTCTGCAGCAGGAGTTTGATCCCCCGGTTGGCCAGGGAGCAACTCACATGGCACAGCAGACCTCTCCTGTCTCGCCTGCTGCTCCCCTCAGCAGTGTACTTTGATCAATTTGCCTGTTCTGTTCCCCACTCTGTCTCTGGTGAATCCTCTCATCCCCCCACACCTCTGGCCTGTACCCCAACTCTTGTGTACATAAATAAATCTTTAAAAAAAAAAAAGAATTGAGTCAATGCCAAAGATCTTAACATCCAGTCAGAAGGCTTATGATTAAGGTAATAGAATATATTCCACTGTGTCCTTGCCAGAAATCAAATAAACACTAGACATTAACCATACAATTCTTGAAGTTTGGAGAGGTGGAGGAGGAGGGAAAGGATTAGGTTGCATCAGAAATGGCATATAATATAAAATATAGAAAACAGGACCCAGTGCCTTCTGACTTTTTGAAATATGCAGACTGTTTATGTATCAGCGACTGGTGAGATATTTATCAAAGGAGATAAAAGTCCTCTGCCTGGTGCAGAGGACTCCGTGTGCCCCTCGTGCCGTAGCCCCCGCATCACTATCTTTTCAGAGCAGAACTTCTTGAACTCTGCCTTATATATTCATTCAGTTTTATTTCTCTCCTTAGGGAGTCTGATAGGTATCGGATATGAAGAGGTGTTTCCTAGGCAGTGGTCATCTCACTGCCTGTTGGGATAGTTTAATAGTCTGAGGCGAGAGCAGTGAGGATTCTGTTTCTTTGTGTGCCCATTTCTAATGAATCTATGACTTTTATTTATAGTTTTCTGTAGGGAAATTTTAGGATTGTGGGGCATTAATTTCTTCTATAAAGTGAGGTATTAAAATGACCCTGGCCTCCCTGGTGGCGCAGCGGTTGAGCGCTGGGTTGCGAAGCTGCCTGCAGCCTCTGCAGCGCTGGTTCGATCCCCAGCTGCTCCCCGGCCACCGGAGGCGGGTCCCACATGGCGCGCAGACCTCTCCTGCCGCCCGCTGCTCCCCTCAGCAGTGTACTTCAATCCTTCTGCCTGCTCTGCGCCCCGCTCTGGCTCTGGTGCATTCTCTTAAACTCTCGCGCTTCTGACTGTACCCAGTGCGTGTATAAATAAATAAATAAATATTTTTTAAAAAAAACAAAATGACTTTTCTGATCTGTCATTCTGTAGATACACCAGGGTTTTGCTCTCTATCTTGTTTGTGCCATCTGTGATTATGCACTCTACTTCAGTAAGATTTGGTAAGGTGTAGTGGGCAATATTTTTAAAGTCACTGGGATTTGAAAGATGTTTATTTAAAAGGATAAAAGGCATTTTTAAAGATGTATATAGGTGATGTACCAATTGTATTTAGGAGTTTGTTTATAAAAATTCTTTTTGACTTTAGGAACAAGAGTTGAACGCTAGAGCACGGGCCCTACAAGCTGCATCTTCCTCCTGCTCATTCCGGCCCAATGGATTTGACGACAATGACCCACCAGGAAGCTGTGGACCAACTGGTGGAGGGGGTGGAGGAGGATTTAATACAGTCAGTAGACTCGTATTCTGATCCTGAGTGTCCAAAATGCACTGAACGCAAAACATCCAATCCTATGACTGTTAAAATGTCAGACTGTAACAAATACCAGATCTATCTTCTATTTTTCTTTTCATTAGACCCTTATCCTTTAAGAAAACACACTCAGTGTTTGTTTTTATTTTCTTGACAATACATTTGTTAACAAAATGCATCATGGGAAAAAAATCTACCTCTTAAAATTCCATTTGCTTTTATGGTTAGACATGCTTGACCAAAAATTTTCAGAGGAAAATAAATACCTGGTCCCTAATTAAGCTGCATTAAATTTAGTAGAGGCATTTAAATGATCCTAATCGTCAATCTTATTAAACAAAAGGTATTATTCATTTAGCATCTTTATGAAAGAATTGATTTTAAAGGTGAGGGAACTATTGTTTAAAGAGAAAATTCTCTGTGTCCTGTACAGTTACCCAATTAATAATACAAATCTTTGAAAATGCTAGAGATGATATGGTCTCAAATGAAAGGCAATAACAATTTATCAGCTATAGTATTTTTCAGATTTTTGTTTAGTGCTGTCCTCAGCATCACTGTATCTGTATTTCAAGTACAAATGTTTAAAAAGATTATTTATACGTAAGTGCTGAGCTGAATTTGAGAAAGGTGCATGATCCTGTAGGAACATTTTTACCTAAAAATTGCTAACTTTGTAGTATTTCTAATTGTTTAAGGATTTTAAAATTCTATTTCAGGGAGTATATCTTCTGTGTGTGTTGAAGGAGGTGAGTTCTGTATGTGCCTTGCAGTACCGTAATTCAAAAATAGGGATCTTTGGCTGCGGAAGAGTTTTTTTTAATGAACTGTTAGGAATTAATTTTTTGTGCTAACATTAAAATTATAACTTTTTGAAAGGTATTAGATTTTCCTGAAGTAAAATCTGATTGTTCTAAATCAATAAGTGTGATAGTTTGTTTTTAACTTTCTGAAGTTGTACATTTGGGGTGTTTTCTTCATTTGAGTCATGTTTTGCACAGTTGTTTTCTATTTCATAGTTTCAGATAAAATGTTGAAATGTCAGGCCCTACCATCCCACATCTTCTTGCCGGGGAAACTGGAAACAAGTCAGTTCTCCTGGGTCTTGATTACATAGTACTCAGGAGTTATCCCAGCCCGCCCCCTTCCGAAAGAGATTTTTTTTTTCCCCCTGAAGGTTTTAACTTATCCATGGTCGTACATTGTTCTGAAGATTGCTTTCATTTATTTTGAAAACATTTTAAGGAAAGAATGTTCTTTAGTGATTTAGGGTTTATCTCTTTCCCAAGCTTTTAATGGCGGTGGTTAAAAACAACTCCTCACTGCTCGCCCTTTTCTAGTCACTAAGAAGACTCGGAAAACTGATTTGATTAGTTAGAACCTCGAGATGTGCAGAATTGAGAATTCTTTCCCTTACAAATGAATGAACCAGAGGGTTTTTGCAGACCTTTCCTATGGCCTTCCTCTTGTCCTTATAGTGAATTTTTAAGCTACCATATGTATCCATTTAAACACTGGCTGGGTACTTTCCTCTGCCTCTTAGAAATGTTTTAAGGTCTGACTCTGAAGGCTCACCGAGTACTATTACTGTTTCTCCTTTGTTCAGTCCAAGGTAATCAGTTTAAATGAAGCTGCCACTTATTGCTACTAATAAGAACACATTAGGCCTCATACTAAGAAAAGTGAAAAACTGGAAATCTAATTCTGTTCCTTTCAAAGATCAATTAGCACATTGAGAAAAACAGTATCTTTTTGGCTATATGTTAGTAAGAAAATATACATGACGTCAATCATGGAGGCCCTGGTAATCCACCCACTAAGCACTCTGACTCCCGAGAGTCACATAGCTCAAGCTGGAGGAGGAAATCTAGTGCATTCTCCATCCAGGCGTCTGCCCACCACCTCTCTCAGCTGAACAGTCAGTGGAGCAGGGCAGCTTTGAGCTAGAGACCCCTGACTTGTCTCCAAACTTAAGATCCCAGAAGGATCCTCTGGGTATAGAAATAAATGTCTGTAGGTGTTATGGGTCCTTGTGACAGGTTCAAAAGGCCCAGCATTAACTCACAGCTGGAAACAGAAAATACCTTAAAACGCTCTTCAGTTCAAATCTATAATGTTCTTTCTCATTTACTTCTATTTTTTAATGATGTCATTTACAAGGTACTTCTCTTCGTATACTACCTCTATAAAAATTTTTGCTGCTCTCTTATACGAGGAGACTGAATGCTTATTGTGTGCCCAGCACAGTTTAAGGAAAATATAACCTACATAATCTGTCCAGTACACACATCTTAATGGAAATCACCATTTCGATGATGTGTGTTTTCTTCCATCCTTTCTTCTCAGTATATCTTTTTCTGTGATTGCATATTTCACATAATATACCTTATACAAAGAGAGCTTTTTAGGTATTTCAGAGGAAATAATGTACATTTATATAGAATCTTCACCTAGTGCTATACTTTGTATATTCTTTCATATTCTGTTTTTTTCCTAATGAGTTTAGATTTCAAAAACTAAATATTGCTGAGTAACAAAGGAGAGGTTACTCATATTTTATAAAAACTTATAGAAAGTGTTAGCTGTTATTAATAATTAAGTAACATCATCTGGAAGAATAATGTTAAACCTTGGATAATGTGTTCCTGTAACTAAGAGACTAAAGTTCAATAGCAAGGAAATTTGAAGTTAAAAATTACCCCAATGCAGCTTAAAAAATAAATCTAACATAGAAGCCAGTCCATATTTATCCTTACCAAACTGTCATATATCACCATCATGTAACCTTACTTTGTTTTACTATTAATTTTCTTACATATAGTCCTTTTCGCACATGAATGAATCTCAAAATGAAAGGGGCATTTAAAAAATGGTAAACAGTGCTTTTAAAAAAAATGCTGGCTTGTAAAGAAAACTATAGCTGACCCATGTAAGAATAAATTACTATAGAAATAATTTTAAAGAAATAAAGATTTTTGTAAAATCACCAATCTGGATTTTACAAACTTGAATGGATTTGTTATATAAAACCTTTAGCCCCAATGTTACATAACCAGTGTGGATTTAACATTAAAAATAGAATCTAAGAAGTCAGCCAAGTGTGTTGCCAACTCTCTTCAGTGTCAGTTATGGCCTGCAGTTGTTTTTCTGTTAATCTCATGTTTTTATGTTTTGCTTTGTGTGTTAGACGCATATGCACGTGCACACACACCTTCATTTCAGAGGGATGAAAAAGTTAGCCTTCCCTGGCTAGATCAGCAGTATTCTACTTCTCATGTTAAACTCCCTTTGAGAGCCTTTTGAAAATAATACCAGACCAAGCAAATTACATGAAGACTGGGCATCAATATTTGAAGTTCCTCATGTAATTTAAATGTACACCCTGGATTGAGAATTTTTGTATTACAAAGGCGTTTTTCCTAGTGTTTGGATCCAAGGAGTTGAATGTCATATGTGCTGAGCACTGGTAGATGTTTTTTTAACCTATACCCACCCTGTAAGTGGGCTTATATCTTTGCCCTCCCTTACCTTCTCATAGATAAAGGAAGGCGCAGATTAATGCATTTGCTCAAAATCATGCAGCTAAAATATCAGCAACTGATATTTTTAAAAATCAGAATTGAGTTTTTAACCCATGTCTTCACAATCCCCAAATCATTGCTCTCATGGAGGGACAGTAACAGGAAAAGGTGAGCAAAAGATTTGAACAAATTACATATTAATAACAGCTTGCAGTAAATTTTATGAAATAAAATTTCTATTTCACTTGTCTTTTTGCACTTGAAACATAATTCCTAAAAAAAAAAAAAAAAAAAAGAGAAAGAGAGATCTGCCTATTAAAACTTAAAGGTAATGATATAAATGACTGAGGAATATGGTTCCTAGAAAACTCACTTGCTCCACCTGTTTGATCTCTTACTTTCCTAGCTTCATTGCTTCCATTCTTCCCTTCCTGTCCTTTTTCATATTGGCCTTTCATAGTTCTTATTCAGATATTAAGCACTTGCCACCTCTTGGCTTTTGCACATGTAAGTCTCACTATAGCACAGCATTCTTCTCCCTTTCCCTGCTTTCAGTTGACTTAATTCCTGCTTACCTTTTAGCATGCTCAAGTCTTCTTATACTAGCCTTGCAGACTGAGGAGTCTCCCTTTTTATCCAGGGTGGTTTCTCATGCTGCTGTTTAAAAAGGCCCTTGTGTAGTAGTGAAGCTAAATTAGCACTGGAGTAAAAGCTGATCCTTTATACCCAACAAAGGCTAAAAGCAGACCTTGAGAGAATGAAAGCCATCTGTGGAAGTCATTTAACTGAACACAGAATAAAAGTTCAACACTGAAGGAATACAATAAGCCCAGTATTTAAGAAAGTAAAGTTCATAATATCCAGCATCTGATGAAAAATTATCAGGCATTCAAGGGAGGAAAATATAATTCATACTCAGGAGATACCCAATCAATAGAAATGTAGATATGAAAAGTAAGATTTTAGCTTAAAAGACTGTAAAGGAAAACATCAACACAATGAAGAAAGAAATGGAAAATCAAGAAGCTTAACAAACCCTCAGCAGTAAACATTAAAAGTCACACCAAGGCATATATCATAATCAAAATTAAGAACAGTGATATTGAGAAACCCTTAAAAGCAACTAGAGAAAAGAACACAATGCTTATAGAACAGAGATCAACAAGCTATACACAGCCTTCTCCAAATTTATACTGCCTCCTGGTTTTTCGTAGTTTTCTTGGAACATCTATTTGCTTGCCTGTTGCCTATGGCTGTTTTTATACTACAATGGCAGAGATGAATAATAGTCACAGATTATAGGCCTGCAAAGCCTAAAGTATCTACTGGACTACCGAAAAAATATATCATCCCTGGTATAGAGAGAGAGGAGAAAGACAGCAGCCTTCTTGTGAGAAAACATGCAAGTTAGAAGGCAATGGAATGACATCTAAAACTCTCAGAAAGAAAAAATTGTCAACCCAGTGACTATTCACTATATCGTACCAGTGAAACTGTCCCTCAAATGAAGGTAAAAAATAAACATTTTTAGATAAAAGTTGAATTTTTCCTTGGATTCTTGCACTATATGACATGCTAAAATTCTTCAGACTGAAGTATTTTACCAGATGGAGACTTAGATCTACAGAAAGACAGGAGAGGCTGGGAATGGTCTTGGCACCACTGGGCCTACAAAATCTCCAGGAAAGGAAGGACAGCTTTAGAAAACTCAAGACTCACACTGTGCCCAAGAATGACAACTGAGACCTCCTGCTGCATTCAGCACACCAGATACCCATCCAGGGAAAGAAGAATAAACATGACTATAGCAGAGTTTAGCAAACTACAGCCTTTGGGCCAGCCAGGTATTCATCTATGTAGAAGATCC